AAAAAGCAACAGAGGGTCCTATGGCACCTTTAAGACTAACAGAAGTATTGGGCGCATAAGTGAGGTTCTTACCCACAAAAGCTTATGCTCCCAATACTTCTGTTAGTCTTAAAGGTGCCACAGGACCCTCTGTTGCTTTGTGCTGAAGTAGTGAATCAAGCTATCTGTAGGGAGGAATTGTTGGCGAGTGGGCCTGGGAGGTGGAACTAGCTTGTTTTCCTGGCTCAGTGGCTCACTCCATGATCTGGGGCAGGACACTGAAAACGAACCAACCTCTTCGTGCCTCAGTTTCCCCCTGTAAAACAAAATGGGACTGATACTCCCCCAGCTTCCAAGGTGGGGGTCGAGCTTAGGTAATGAATGCCGGGTGGGAAGTGCACAGGGTTGTTTCTATACAGCTGGCCTGGCAGAGCTTGGGTAGCCCTCTGCACTGCGCTGGGGAGATGCACAAACGTGCCAGCCGATTATCTTCGCCGTCTCGCACGGTGCTGGGGGAGCCCAAGCCTTGATCCTCCCCGCTGCACCCAACCCCCACCTCGGCTTAGCCAGGGGAGGAGGGCGAGCCTCTTTGCGCCAGTTCCCTTCCCTCCTGCCGGCGGCTGCGTAATCCTCTTTGCGTGCGCGCAGGCACCAGATGGCACCGCTAACTGGGTCAAATGAGAAATGGATCCATAAAGCAAAAGGCGAGGGGGCGGCGGCTGCCAGTGCAATTGCAGCCGGCATGGGTGGGGCCGGGGGAGCTCAGGTCACAAGCCTCTCAGCTTCCTATTCTCAGAAAGCCAGCAGGCAGGCTGGGAGCCGCGCAGGCTGCTTTCGAGGGAAAGACGAGGAAGGCGAGCATGAGGCGGAGAGAACCCAGCCCTCCCCGACCCCAGAGCACGTAGGCAGAGCAAAGCAGGGGGGTCTTTGCAAAGAAATAGGCGGGCACTGGGAAGACCAGCCAAGCGCCCCGCCCGTGCCCAGTGAGGAATAACCGAGGTGGCCGGGTGGAGAATCGCTAGCACCCTGCGATGAGAATGGGTGCCAGGCAGCCACCCTGCTACAGCAAGCCCACGGCTGCCGTGGGAGAAGGGGGGTGGTTGGGCTTGGGGGAGCGGGTTGAAAAGGGTTGAAAGGCCCAGGTTGCGGGATGGTCCTGGGAGAAGCCAGGGAGTGCGCTGGAGGGGGCTGCAGATATCAGCGCACCCAGCGCGACAACCCGTCTCCATTCAATTGACGCTGTAAGAAATTCTGCCCTCGGCTACGCCCGCCTGCCTAGGCAGCGGCTATTAGTGATTTCTACGGCACGCGGCCACTGAGCAAACGTTAGCACGCTGGGCTCGCCCACACCCTGGCAGGGAGGCCGGTATCATCCCCATTTTACAGGTGGGGAAACTGAGGCACGGAGGGTCAGGCTAACCCTTTCAGAACGGGCACCTGATTTCGGGTGCTCTGCTTAGGTGGCCCCTCGGGCCCGATCTTCCAGAGGCTTTGAGCACCTGCAATTCCCATCGACTCCCACTGACGCCATGGCAGTTCAGCTCAGGTCGGGCTCCCGCGGGCTGAGGCACCCAGAATCAGCCGCCGCCTCCGAAAACTTCGCCCTTAGCGACTTATGCAAGGCCGCGCGGCCAGGCAGTGGCAGAGGTGGTACTAGAACACAGCTTCCCAACCCTCTTCAGCCTCTAGCCTTCTGCAGCCCTCTCCCCCGCCCCACATCCATCCTGCATGAGCCAAGGTGACCCGAAGAGCTCCTCCCCCTTTGCAGAGCTCCTCCGTCTTTGCAGAATGTCAATGGTGGAGCCGGGAAGGGGACCCAGACGTCCTGACTCAGAGTCCCTTTCAGTGGGGCTGTATTTTGGAGGTAGCAGGGCAGAATTTCCCCTCCTCTTGTGCCTAGGGGGCTGTATTCTGTGTTAGAGGCATCTCAATTGCTGTGCGAGTGGTGCATGCATAACCCGTGGCCTTATTTATGAGCTCTACCCTGTGTGGGCCCCTGCCCATGCCGCCTGAGAGCCTGAACTCCTGGCTCCAAGATGGGGGAGTGGGGGGAAGGTTGCATTTTATTTGAAAACCTACACAGCTTGGAGATCACACAGTTAAAAACAAACTGGCGACAAACCAAATAAACCCCAGCGCCAGCCCTACTCCCCCAGCTGCCAAGTCACTCCTGCTTGGATTTCCAAATGGAAACCCTTAGGGTGAGCTAGGGGACCATGCCAGGTTCATCCCCTAGATCTCTCCCTGCGTCACCCAGGGAACCAGTCACCTATGGAGCCCTGGCTGAGGGGCTTCTATGTGGTCCTGGGGAGTAGGACATTGGACACAGCCTCCCCTCCCCATTCTCTACTCTTCCCAGAAGAGACTGGCTGGAACTCAGTCCCCTCATGAAAGCAGAGAGGAGCACCTGGGTTTAAGTGATTTGCCCAAGGTCACACAGGGAGTCTGTGGCAGAACTGGGAACAGAGCCCAGCTCTCCTGGATCCAGCCTCTGCCTTTCCCCATGGTACTAAGTGCACAGGCTTGAGGGACAGGGTTTCCTCCTAAGTACCTTTATTATTTATGCCATGTTTGCACCCAGAAGTTCCAGTCATAGAATCATAGAATATCAGGGTTGGAAGGGACCTCAGGAGGTCATCTAGTCCAACCCCCTGCTCAAAGCAGGACCAATCCCCAGACAGATTTTTGCCCCAGATCCCTAAATGGCCCCCTCAAGGATTGAATTCACAACCCTGGGTTTAGCAGGCCAATGCTCAAACCACTGAGCTATCCCTCCCCTCGACCAGAGCCTGATTGTGCTTGGTGCTGTACAAACCACAAAACAAAACAACCATGCCCTGCCCTGAAAAATTTAGCACTGCTGGGGTGCCGACATAAGATGAGGAATAAACCAACCTGCCTCCCTCAGAGAGGGAGAGCATGATGGCCACGGGCAGCCCCTCATTCAAGTCTTTCAGCAGCTCCACAGGAAGCAAATCCAGAATCGTGAGCTCCGAAAGAGGAAACAATAAACCAGGCACCAGGCTGCTCCTGACATGCAGCAACCCATGGCAGGCAATTCCAAAGGGCGGCTCATCCTCCCTGCACAGATTCAGCCGAAACGCATCAGCTTCCAAGAACTGCGCTGGGCTAACATATTTGCTCTCCCCCTCTCTCGCTGGCAGAACGATGAGCAGATGTGCCTGTTATCACGCTTTCCTAGAAAAGCAGGTGAGAGGCTCTAACCCTCCTGCAGAGGCTCAGGGTTTGCAAGGGGAAAGGCTATTAAAACGCCACACATGCTAGGCTTGGACACACACACACACACACACACACACGGTTGTGATTAAAACCCCACGCATGCTAGGCTTGGACACACACACACACAAGCCCCATGAGGCTGTGAATCCACGTTAGCACCGTTTGTTTGTTTAAAAGGAAACAGGAGAATGTTGGTTGTTTTACAGGCACTTGTTCCTAGCCCCAGTTGAGGAAAGCAGCAGGGTTTGAGGTAGGGACCATCTAAGCTACTGCTCCCAATTTTTTTTTTTTTAATAGAACGACCCAGCTGCAAAAACGCACGGACTCTTACCCCAAAGGCAGTAATTATGCCCACACATCTGGGCCTAGAGGTTACTGACCAGGAAGTTCAGCCCTGTGCAGGGTACATGAGCACTTAGTCTTTGTGCTGGCCCTCTGCACAGGGGCGAATTTCATCCTACCTTGGGAACATGGTAGATTCCACACACAACGTGAGTAATACACCACCCCCCCCTCACCCCCGCCCGCCCCCCGCCACTCCCACATGAATAGGAATCACAGCTCAGTCATGATTCTAAGCAGGGCTACAAAACTGTCAGGATTGTAATGCAGGACTTGTGGAGAAGGGGCTGACGGGGTCTGTGGAACTGGGTGAGCCAGTCCTCCTACCTCCCAAGGACATTGCACCATGTGTGGGAGAAGCCACCCACCATCCTCCTTGTGGTAGGAACAGCCAAGGCCTTATGGGAGTGGGGAAGGTTTTCTCCGGATGCACCAGTATAAATCTGGCTGTGCGCTGTGGACAGACCAAGGACTGCTTCTGGGAAGGGGAGCCTGTGTTAGCTGCAGCAGTTGAGCTTGGTTTTACTTGGGCCTCATGCAACTAGCAAAACACTGGAACAAAGAACCACATGCTGTTAGAGAAAGGAGCCTGCCTGTTTCACTCGGACATCTCCAGAGAAGCCAGCCAAACAATCCTGTCCTAGGTGAGCTTTGTAAACTCCCAGTGGAGCAATTGCTGGGGTGTAAAGATCGTCATAGGGCGAGCTTCAGTGTGTTTTAGCCCGAGCTGCTTCCACTGTAGAGATGCCTGGAGATCTAGTCCCGCCCTGGGGAAACCCAGGTGAAGATTTTCCCATAGTGACCAGTGGTTCTGGGTGCACAGCTGGAGACACCTTAAAAGGGGCCTGATTTCCAGGCAGCACCGAGCACCCACCCTATATCCAGCCCCTTTACGGTGTCTCAAGTTGGGCCCTAAAAAATCATCAGTTGCTTCTGGAAAAAAAAAAATCCCAGCCCCAGATGTGCATCAGGACTTGGTTATATTAAAGAAACAGCATCAAACCCTACCCAAACCAACCCACCCTCTCCCCCTAACAGCCAGAACGGAAGCCCTGTCCAAGGGACATTCAGTGAAGCAAGCAGAAGTCAATGCAAAGATGTAGCAATGGGAGAACAAGCAATAGTACAATGAATTTTTATTAGCGGCCCTAGCTAGGGACGACAGAGCCAGACAGAGCCTGAAAAAAAAACAAAAAACAAACAACAAAAAAAAAACACGCTTTCTGCCCCCGGCCTGCTTCGATCTGAGCTCCGGAGATCCCTGCCTTTCGCTCAGCCCCTCACACTTGTACCTGACCCCGAGGCCACGTACTGCAGCACTCCAGCTGAGCAACGCCAGGGACCCTTTGGAGGCCATCAGTGCTGGTGCCGGAGCGGCGTGGGTTGCGGGGAGAGCACCATGTTTTGCCAGGGTAGGATGGAAAGGTGAGTAAGGTGGGGGGGGCTCTCAGAGCACGTATGGGTACTTCATCAGGTAGTCCTTGAGCCTCACAGGCAAGGGCAGGGCCGAGACCTGCCGAGTGCTCCTGTTGATAGTTAGCCTGCACAGGTGCTGCAAAGCCGGCACAGAGACATACAGGGGCTTGATCAGTTTCAGGTGAATGGCCGGATCCTTGGACACGGACGTGGTCTCCTGCTCCGACGGCCCCAGCCGTTCGGCTTGCTTCAGCGAGGCCAGGGAGTAGAACTGGACCAAGGCCATGGCGTCCTTGAAGCTCTGGAGCTTGGGCTTGGCCAGGACGGACGAGTCGAAGCCGAAGCGGCCAGCGCTGTAGCAGATCCGGATGTGGGTGGGCCCGACAGAGGTTTTGACCGACAGGGTGAGCAGGTTGTCTGGGCTGGAACTGTCACGCATCAGGAAGGAGCCTTCCAGGGAAGGGCAGAGAACGCGTCTGGCCTCTGCTGCTGTGAGAGGACCCCAGTACCAACCTGCCCAAGAGAGAAAGCACCGTCACACGCAGGTTAGCCCTAGCACTTCACCCAACAAAGCTGGCCCTGTGGGACACAGAGAGGGGAAGAGCCAAGGTGGAAGGAGCATGATGGCTGTCCCATGCAAGAGATTTCCAGGGGAGCTGGGGGACAAGGGAATAGAAGGGGCAGAGGTAGAAGGCCAATGAGTAGGCAGCTGGTGTGCTGTGACCGATGTTTTCATGCTGACCAGTATCGCCTCATTGCTTCCTCATGTTCCCCCCAGCTGTTTGCTTTCTCCACCTGTTGTCTATTGTCTGAGAGCTCTTCAGGGCTCTGAGTGCAGTGGGGCCCTGATCCCTAGGGCGGGGGCCATTGCAAGATTCAAATAACAGAGGCCCATTTCCCTGTCCCCTGGTGCAGATTTCTCCAGCAGCAAAGGCAGTTCTAGGGGTCTATCCCCGCCGGGGCGAACTGACGCGTCGGGATTTAATGAGAGTAATGAGTTGCCAGATTGACATCCTCGGAGGCTGATGGCCCCTGTTTAACCCAGGGTGAGGCCATGCTGCCCAGCGTGTGTTTTCTGACCCAGAGGAAAGCTTCTAAGGAGGAGAAGGGAATTCAGGTCTCCGTGACCCAGCCAGTCAGTGATCTGTCTGCTGAGGCTACTGACAAGTGTGTGTGCAGTTCTCAGAGCATGACTGAGGTTGCATTAGAAGCCCTAGAGAAGTGCTGAGTACTTGCCCTCTGGAAATCAGACACATTTAAGGGGTCTCAAGCCGGACGCCCAAAAATCACTAGCTGCTTTTGGCTTGCCTCCTGACCCTGAGATCTGGTTGGCTGGAAAGCAAATGACCAGAACCAAGGGAAGCTCCTTCTAGGGATATCTAAGACTTGGCCTGGACGGAGCCCTGGAGAATAGTCTCTAGGGAACAGCCTTGGGCTGGAGAGGGGTGAGGCTAGAGGATCTAACAGCTTTGCCAATGTCTAGTGTCTACAATAATAGGTTTCAGCTTCTTGGACCAACATTCATTCTCCCTTACCAGCTTGCTCCAGGTGGCTTATGGTGCAGTTGATCTGGGCTGAGTTCACGTCCTCATCCCTGGTCTCTTCCCAGCCATCCTGTTCAGAGCCATAAGGGTAAACGTTCAGAGCCGGCTTCTCCCTGCAGATCACAGCACTGGGGGACTTCATGGTCCAGCGTTGTTCTGTTGGCCGGGGGGCTCAGGGAGGGCATCTCAAGGTGCGATCAAGGGGAGGTCACTCAGGGAAGGGAGTGCTGCTGGCATCACTGGGGGCATCTCATTTGGCTTCTCAACACCTAAAAGGTAATGCAGAAGAGTAAAGAAAGGAGAAACCAGTGCTAGGAGGTCCAACCTGTACAAAGCCATTCACCCAGGAGCTTAGCTTCACCAGAGACTATCACTACTGACACTGCCAACTGCCGCAGGGCGTTCCTTACAAGACTGCTACACTGAAGGCACCAAATCCAACAACAGTGATGAAGAGCAAAAGACAACAGGAAGGGACAAGAGCAGACACGGTGGCTGCTGCAACTTCATAAGAGAATGGGGTAGAGCTGGTCAAAATGATCCAACTTTCAACCAAGGGCTTTTGGGGTCAAAATTTCAATATTCTACCCAAACAAAATTTTGATTAAATCTGTAAATTTGACCAGTTCTAGATCGCGGGGTGGGATTTTGATGTTTCTATGAAATTTCAGGACTTAGGGGGAGAAAAAAGTAAACAAAAAAAAAATAACCAACCCAAAAAACATGAATGTTTATTTCTGTCCACTTCTATACGTGTGAGGAAATACAGAAGCTGCTTCTGAGTTATATTGGGAAGAGTTCGTAACATGGAACCATCTCTGCAGGGGAAGTGGTAGAAACGTCTGGGAGTGGACAGAGCCCTGGAAACCATATCCTAGGCTGATGGAACCTGACAGGTTCTTATGTCTGTCTCCTAACATTTCAGATAGACAAGACCAGCTTAAGAATGGGATGGACAGGATGAAATCCACCAAGCCCTCCATCACCATGTTATTTGCCCTGTTTAAATCAAAGGTGATGAAGGGATAGACCAGATCCTGCCACCCTCACTGAGGTATCGGGTAACAAGCCAGATTTCCCTGGGGGCCAAGAGGGGCAGCGACCCATGCCATTAATATGAATCAATAGTCGACTCTAACTTTTGGTGCTCAAGGCTGCAGTGGGTTAAGCAACGGCCATGCTGGTTCACACCCTTGCTTCGTTAAGCATGTTTTGAGATCCCTTGAGCCCGGGAGGAGCGAAGCCCTGATGAGGGGACCCTAGAATGAGAGGGAAGCCCCAGGTTCTATCCCATCTAGTTGTCAGGGGAGCAAGGTATCATGATACCTCCCCACCCCTTTTCCGGACAGATTAAGTGAGTTGCCCAAGGTCATGCAGCAAGTGACTGTTGAAGCCGAGATTAGTATTCAAGAGTCCTGCCGCTCAGTCCCTGCTCTAACCACTAGGCCACAATATCTCAAATACCAGCCAAGGCCACTTGGGCAAACACCAGATGCTGAGAGATGGCACCATGATGCCTAGCACCAAGCCGAACGGAGAGGAGCTTTGTTTAAAGAGACAGCTAATTCCTGAGTTTATCTGCTCTGCACATGCGAAACACTCCATCAGCCCCGCCGGCACGCGAACGGGCGACCTTTCGGGGCCCTGAATTTAAGCCCTAGAAGTGCCCCTGCAACAGCCCTCTCCTGGTGGAGGTGACAGCACCCAAAGCTTGGTAGGAGTGGGACTGAGCCCACCCCACTCAGCTCACAGGCTCTCAAGGGGAGATGTTTTCAGAAGGCCCAAAGGGCAGTTCAGAGCGTGCCAGCTGGTGGGGCGCACTCATCGGCCAGGACAGGGAAGAAAGCTCCCACCAGCGGCAGAATCTCAGTCCCTGCCTTCAGGGAGGAGTTTATTTCTCCAAACTAAAACAATCCCATATAAGTTATTAGACAGACAAACCAGGTCCTGCCGCCTGGCCCCTTTCCAGATGATCTGCAGGCTCTTACCTGATCCCCAGCCCCTGACCCATCACCAGGGAGGCAGATAATTAGTCACAAGGGGCTAAGCTCATCCCCCTTAACAGACTATCCCCTTCCCCTCATGACAGACCCCAATGGGAATTTGGTGCCTAACTCCCAGCTGTGCCTATGAAAATCCCCCCCAGAGCAAACTGGGAAGCACAGACAAGGAGGAAGGATACGGTGCAAGGGGACACGGGTGCAGGGAAAGGACCTGCTTACAAGAGAAGGCGAACAAGACAAACAATGATGGTGGATTTGTGCAGTCCGGCACCAGAGCCGCCTGCAGCAGGTACCTGCCTGCAACCCCCCTGGACTCTCTCCCCACCTCGAGCTGCTGCAGCGACTCCACCATGCATAGGTCACACAGTGCAGCCGGTCCCCCAAGTGCTGGAGCATAAAACAAACACAGTGTTTGGCTAATTAAATCCACCTCCCCCTGCACCTTGGCTCCAGCCTCCGTCCAACTGCTGCATTCAACTCAACTGACAGCAGCTCTCACCTTGGGTAACCCTCTAACAAGAGCAGGTCTCTGGGACGCTGGCTGCCACCCTGGCCAAGGTGCTTAAAGTAGGGTGACCGGATAGCAAGGGTGAAAAATCAGGACATGGAGTTGGGAGTCATAGACATCTATAGAAGCAAATGCCCCAAATATCGGGACTGTCCCTATAAAATCGGGACATCTGGTCACCCTATGATTAAAGCCTTCGCTTCCCCTCTGCCTGCCAGAGCTCCCCACAGGCCAACTAAATTAATTGCCATCTAAGCCAGGGACAGGTAGGGGTCAAGCGAGCTCGTTTGTCCAGGCAAGAGCATTTCAGGGGCAGACGGCTGCCAGGAAAGGGCTGCTCTGGAATCCTAATGAGGGTGGATTTATATTGATCTATATGGAGAGGGATTTGCTGTCTGAGGAATGAACTGACGCTTGGTAAAAGAGACAAACGTGCCAGAGATCTGACACTGGGGGGGGGGGGGGGGAAATCAGGGGGGTGCAGAGCGGAGGCTCAACTCAGGCATAGTCCCCGACTTCCCCATGCCGAGATCAAGGGCCAATTCCGACCCCCTTCACCATGGTGGGTTTGTGAGATTGGACTGAAATTTCAAACCTAGGGTGTTGAAAATTAGCTCCCTAAATTCACCCAGCCCCACTTGGCCTGATTTGCTGAGCACCCCAAAATTCCATTGAAGTCAACAGGAGCTGCAGAGGCTTGGCACCTCTGCCACCCAGTACACTTCCCCTCTCCCACACCGCTTTGCCTATTCAGACATCAAGCTATCTGGAGCAGGAACTGTCTCTTACTATGTTTGTACAGCACCCTGCACTGCGGGGCCCTTAGGTGCTACTAGAATCCAAATAGCGATTGTTTCTATTTAGGAGCCTAACGATGAGTTAAAGAGCTTTGCTTTCTGTACCCAGGACCGAAAACTTCAACCTCTATTCTGATCAGGATTATTTCCACCATCTGAATGTGAGGGTCTCTTCAGAGAGCTAACACCTACATGGATCGCATGAGTAAAAATGTAGCACAGCTCTAACATTTATCCCACACACATGCACCATCTTCAAGGAGTTGTACTAACATCCACTCTTTAATCTACACAACGTCCCTGAAGTATTTCAGATGGGGAAACTGAGGCAAAGGGAGGGTCACTGATTTGCCCAAGGTCTCACAGAGATAGTCAGTAAGCTGGAAAGAAGAGAAGATTCAAGGACACCGTGGCCATGAGGTTTCTACCACCCCCCACCCCCAGGCAGAACATTAGATAACAAGGTTAGAAGGCTTTTATCTAGCAGCATGCTCCCTCTCTGGTGGGCATTTTAGAGCACCTTAGTTCCAGGCTCTGGGTAAAGGGTGGAACAGTGTTGCCTGTAATTGACAAGGAG